CTAAATTACCCCTATAGATACTCTCTCAACCATAATTAAGTAAAAGAGGGAGAGGGGGTATTAAGAAAGATGATTATGGTGTTTTAGGAAAAATGTGTCACTTTTCTTATAATTAACCAACTTACCTAACTTCCTTAATCTAATCAAATTTGTTAAATGGGTCTTATATTAAGGACCGGAGGAGTATTTAATTATGGCTGTGCTTTAAAATATTACTTATGGGCCAACTTTCTTCCAGGAGGTTTGTTTTATGCTGCCACCTTTGCTGGCTTTGCTGTTAGATTGTGCTAAAAAGCCAGATCAAACTGTGGTTTCAATATCTCTTGGTGCCTTGGTTCATCTAATTGAAGTTGGGGGACATCAGTTTAGTGAAGCTGACTGGGAGACACTGCTGAAAAGCATAAGGTACATTTTGTTTTTGTTTTCTGAAGATCTTCTGTGATGAAGCCCTTATTAATAGGATCAGTGTATTTAACTTTGATCTCCAGTGATGCTGCATATACAACGCAACCACTTGAGCTGCTTAATACCTTCAGCATTGAAAATATGAGAAATTATGGAGGCATAGATAGATCAGATACCAGTGCAGGTGATAGTCTTACAGTAAAGTCTATTGACAATGAGGCAGTGGGTGTCCGTCAGCTTAATGTCAATGATAACGGAAAGCTATTCCCTCAAGCTTACTCAAATATAAATGTTGATGGAGTTGAAGGTTCAGGATCGCAGACAAATTCAGACCGATCTGAAGGTCAGGTTTTTCAAAACATCTAATAAATTTCATATTTATGCATAGTTTGCTTTTAGTGCGATTATTGAAATGACATCAAATGGACACTGTATTTTTTTGAAAATGGAAAACCATTATAATAGGAAATTGCTAACTTCGATTTTCTTTCTACATTGCACTGTAGAAAGAAAATGAAAAGTGGGATACAGGGGAAAATGAAGAATAAATATATGTTTGATGATAGTCATGAAATTATTTATTGCTGTAGGCCTTCCTTCACCATCTGGAAGATCTCCCAGACCGGCAGATGCTGCAGGCCTCAAGCGGAATCAAACATTAGGTCAACGTATTATGGGAAATATGATGGACAATCTCTTTCTCAGAAATCTTACTTCCAAATCTCAAAGCCGACCTTCAGATGCTTCTCAACCTCCTTCTCCAGCTATGGTATTGTGCAGGATATGATTATCATTTGCTGATCTTATGTCATCTGTTTTAAAGTGATCATATAAATGCTTTTAGTATTTTGATTTGATTCAATGCCATTTTAGGTTACTGATGCTGTAGAACCTGATACCAAGGATGAAGAGAGTCCTTTGCTAGTTACTGTCAGGGGAAAGTGCATTACTCAATTACTTCTTCTTGGCGCAATCGATGGTATTCAGGTTTGTCTGCGATTGTTTTTATAGTGTTAAATCTCATATTTTTGGGTTCCCTTTAATTGCTACTTTGACTTATTTATTTAATTAAAAACGAGGGGTAACATTCATTTGCAGAAAAAATACTGGAGCAAGTTAAAAGCACAGCAGAAAATTGCTGTCACGGACATTCTGGTGTCTCTGTTGGAGTTTGCTGCTTCATATAACTCATCCACCAACCTTAGAACTCGGATGCACCAGATTCCCGAGGATAGGTAGTCAATAAATCCATATCTGTTTTTCTTTGCTGATGGTGTTAAGTTCATCTGTCATTGGTATGGAGCTCTAAATCACCTCAAAATGATTCTTGGGCAGGCCACCCGTCAATCTTCTCCGCCAGGAATTAACTGGTACTAGCATATATTTGGAAATCTTACAGAAATCGACTTATGGATTTGATACAAACAGAGAGAAGAACCTGCAGTCTGACGGCTTTCAACATGCTGATAGTAAAGTGGATGATGGCTCCAGCATTGCTCAGCATTCTGAGGTTGAAGAGAAATTTGAAAGAATAGCTGAGGAGAAACTGGTTTCTTTCTGTGAACTGGTACTGAGGGAGGCATCTGAGCTCCAATCTAGTGCTGGAGAAACCCCCAACATGGATATTCATCGTGTCTTGGAGCTGCGTGCTCCTATCATAGTGAAGGTACACAATTTGCCCTCCATGGTTTTATATGAAATTTCAAATACATTTTCTTTATTTCTGTTGTTGTAAAAGCGTCTTGTATTACAGTTCGCATCTGTGACAGAATTATGCATTTTCACGTCATGCCTTTGTAGAGCAATTTTGCCTTGAGTTGTCTGCCAACTAATTCTGCATCTTATTTCCCTGGACATGGAGGAAAAGCTCTACCTATCTTAATTACTTACTATGTACTTGGCATGCGTTCCCTTGAAAACTTTTTTGGTCTGCTTAAGGAGCCTGTGAACTAATGCTATTCCATTGTAGTAGATATAGTTTGTTCAGCTTATGCTATTCCTTTGACAGGAGCCTGTTTCGGATTTTTGTCTTTAGTAATTTTCAAATTACTTTCACATTCAGTTGTAACTTTTAAGATTTCAGTCAGAAAGAACATGGTTTATTGATAGTTGTTGGTCTCAATGCATTTCAGCTTTTCATGTGATGGTTCGGATCTTAAGATATTTACGTCCTCATAATTGTTTGCTCTCTCAGGTGCTTAAAAACATGTGTTATATGAATAATAAGATTTTCAGAAGACACCTCAGAGATTTCTATCCCTTGCTGACGAAGCTTGTATGCTGCGACCAGGTAATTTCTTATTTTTACAGTCATTGAAAGGCTCATTTACTTGGAAAATTATTGGGTGATTCAAACCTGGTATTTGATGAATTGCATATCTGGGAAAAAAGGAAATAAAAAGAATAGCTATAAGGCCATTCCGGAGCAGTTGCGGGACAACTAAATTTGGAATACTAATAAAATTTAAATATCAATTTTCAACCAATTTTTTTTTCCCACTTATTCTCTTTTCATGATTTTGATGCTTGCAAGCTAGTTGAGGGAAATGCCCTGTGATATGCTGACATTTTTTTGGTTCGATCAGATGGACATTCGGGGAGCCCTCGGTGATCTATTTCAAGCACAATTGAAAGCACTCTTACCATAGCTACTTCTAAATGTCACTGATTATCAGACGATCCGTTTCAGCACTTTGGCCTCCCACTCTCTTCGACCTGGAACGGGAAATACTATTCAATTTTCTTTGACCTGGAAACGGGAAATATTGTATTCTTTTGCATTTAATCTTCGACATCAGTCTGAAAAGAAAATCTTCTATAGGTAATTAATTTTGTGTTGGCCTAGCCGTAGGAGTTCTATAGAAGACCGGCAATACAAATGTAATAGTCATTTTCTTCATCTATCTCGCAATAGCAGTTCGCCCAGGTCCAGTTGTTTGTGCAGTGTAGTGTTTGAACATTAGCATAAATTCTGATTCAGAACATGTGGAATCAGTTTTTGGTTGTTGTATCATAATAGTTGTGTACCCTGTTAAACCCCTGTATTCATGAGATGTCAAATATTTAGTTTTCTTAAATCATTCAAGAAAACAAAGGGAGCATTTTCCTGTTGCCCCACTCATTGCAAATTAGTAGTTTCCTGCATATTTTCAACAGTTGAGGTTCCCGAGACACAAGAATTGGTAGAAGAAGGCAAGCGACAGTGCCTTACCCATTAATTGTCCATGTCTGATTTGATTAATAGTTTGTCAATTCGAATTTTTCGCGTGGAGTTATTTTGTTGATTTTACAATTTATATGGGTACTTTTTTTTTTTTTTAATGCCAGCATTATAACCGGATACGACAAATTTAGGCAAACGTTGAAGCGCGGATGTGAATTTTTAAGTTCTTTTTATGTATAATGAGAGTATTTAAGGTTGATCTGATAATTCTAATCGAGGCTAAGTATAAGGTTTATTACGTATATAAACTACTCAATCTGTTTGCAAAAACAATTTCCATCATCATATGATTTATAAAAGTTTAACCATCAAGAGATGGGCATTTCTGGTTTTTTCTTTTTTCCTTTTCCTTTTTTCCTTCATATATGCACTCAATATTCTTATTGATTCCATATATTAGGGGAGGTTTTGATTAAGAAGTAGTTATTGGCAAATGTATTTTAGGAAATAGTATTGGTTAAAAGTAATAGTTTAAAAAAAATCAGCTGCATATAAATTATTGTCTAAGTTTTTAAATTTTTATAAGGTAGTAAACTAACTCCTACATTTATAGTTTAGGAGTATGCACAGTGTACCCTATAATATGAAGATAAATATTACTCCTCCTATCTTTAATATAGAACCCAATTCTTGAGTTGGTTTTGGTCCTAAATATAAGACTAATTTTTCATATTTATCAATTTTCTCTAAATTACCTTTATAGATACTCCCTCAACCATAATCAGTAGAAGAGGTATTAAGAAAGATGATTATGGTATTTTAAGAAAAATGTGTCACATTTCTTATAATTAACTAACTTACCTAACTTCCTTAATCTAATCAAATTAGTTAAATGGGTCTTATATTAAGGAGCGGAGGAGTATTAAACAATGATGATAAAAATAAAATAAATGTCATATTTCATTTTTGCCAAAAAATTGAAGGATTTTGAACTCCCATTTCCCTTGGCTGGATGCATTAAGAGGAGGGGGAATAATCAAAAGTGGCTTTCATTTTCATCAACACCTGGAAGGATTCAAAAGGTGCATTGCTTCTGTGTGAGGTTTCGGGTCAAGCACAAAGGTATCTTTTGGCTTCGATTCTTCCTTTCTTTCCTAGACTGTTCTTCCTGTCCTCCCACGTACGCATATTTCCAACAAAAAACAGAAAGTTATCCGGGTTCTTGTCTTCATGCGGTATTCCCCTAGAATCCAGTACTTTGTCGAACTTTTATGCAATGCTTTCCGTAACTTTCTTCGGAATCAAAGGACACAACTCTTCCCCCCCATTAAATACGCTCTTATCAGCTTCACACCCCATGCTCGTGTTGGAGACAGGCTAAACAGAGAGAAACAGAGCAAGCACAGACAACATGGGGTTGTACAACAATACTATGTTCCTTGCGGTTTGGTTTTGCATTGTAAGCCAATGTTTTTTGGCGAAGGGCGTGTTTGGGTTTGCTTGCAACTGGGGGACTCGTTCTACGCATCCCCTTCCACCAAAAATAGTGGTGCAGCTCCTAAAGGACAATGGGTTCGACAAAGTGAAGCTATTCGAGGCAGATCCTGCGGCACTCAGGGCTCTGGGTCGTTCAAGCATTGAGGTGATGGTTGGCATACCCAATGATCTCTTGGCTTCGCTTGCAAGTAATGTCAATAATGCTGAGGCTTGGGTCTCCCAAAATGTATCCACTTTCATCTCCAAAAATGGGGTCAATATCAGGTAACTTTCATGTTGCTCTGCTCGCTTTCTGTTTTCAGTTTACGAATCAATCCCTTTTTTCAAATTATTGTTTTTCACTTCCTTGTGTTTCAGAATACAATTTTATTAGATATAAGTGTGTGCATACATATGTACGTACTTACGTACATATGTATAGTTTGGATGACTAAAATAAGAATTGAGTTGGTTGGCAAACAAAAGAAGGTTGGGATTGGCTTGAATTGAACCCGCAAAGCCCATTATGGGTTTGGACTTTGGAGATAATCGGCTCGAGATAGATAAGGATATGATATTCCTTATTGGGCCATAGGCCACATGGGCTGGGTTAAATTAAAATGCCCACATTAAAAGGAGCATCTAATATCCTAGGTAGCCCAACTTTAGATTTGGGTTGAACTACCTTTATGTCTCTTGGGGGAGTATGACTTTATTTACATGAGATAAAAAAAAGTTTTGACTTCTCATTTGAATATCCGCAAGAAAAGCGGCTTTCCTCGTCTCTGCCCGATGTGTGGCCCGCTTTTCTCCTCTTAAAATAGTGCCTGGAGGTACGACAAAGTTCATACGAGAAACCGTTTTCCGTAAACAAGTTCGCATGCTCTTTTCAATCTGTTATGTGTTTTAGCGGAGTTGCAAATGAATCCTTAAACCCATATCCTCATTGTGCTCTTCTACATGTTTGATCAAAGTTCCAAATGAATTTCATCCCTAACAAAAGTGCCTATGAATATTCCCAGGTATGTTGCTGTGGGTAATGAACCTTTTCTAAAATCCTACAATGGTATGTTCGTGCAATCCACATTTCCAGCCCTCAAGAACATCCAAGCAGCCCTCATAAAAGCTGGGTTAGGAAGGCAGGTGAAGGCGACTGTCCCTCTAAATGCTGATGTGTATCAGAGTGGCAGTGGCCTTCCATCAGGAGGAGACTTTAGGCCTGATATCCATAACCAAATGATGGCCATTATCAAGTTTCTGAACCAAAATGGTGCTCCTCTCGCCATCAACATCTATCCTTTCCTAAGCCTCGATGCTGATCCAAACTTTCCAAAAGAATTTGCCTTTTTTAATGGCTCTGCACAACCAGTAGTTGATGGTTCGAAAACTTACACAAATGTCCTAGACGCCAACTTTGATACCCTTGTTTCTGCTCTTGAAAAGAATGGTTTTGGCTCAATGCCCATCATAATTGGGGAGGTAGGGTGGCCTACAGATGGAAGCTCCAATGCCAATGTAAAGAATGCCCAGAGGTTCAATCAAGGGCTATTTGATCGCATCGTTAAAAAGCAAGGTAGCCCAAAGAGATCTACCCCACCAGATATCTATGTGTTTGGGCTTCTAGATGAAGATGCTAAGAGTACTGATCCTGGAAACTTTGAGAGGCATTGGGGGATCTTCAACTATGATGGGTCTCTAAAATACCCCTTGAACTTGGGTGGTGGAAAATCGCTGGTTCCTGCAAAAGGGGTCAAGTATTTGCCAAAGCAATGGTGTGTAATGTCACCACAAGCAAGTACTTCAGACCCAAATTTTGCTCAAAGTATGAGCAATGCCTGCACATATGCTGATTGCACTAGCATTTCTCCTGGATCTTCTTGTGGAAATTTGGATCCTAAGATGAATGCTTCTTATGCATTTAACATGTACTACCAAACCATGGATCAGCGCAAGGATGCATGCAATTTTAACAATCTTTCAATGGTCACTAAGATAGATCCTTCGCCCCCTCAAGGTGGCTGCAAGTTTGAGATCATGATTGATCTGGGGAAGCACGAAACTAACTCCGCTTCGCTGGCTGTCCCAATGATGATGCTGAATTCAATAGTCATGCTGGTATCAAGCTTCATGCTCATCATTCCACTTTTGTGGAATTAAATTTATTTATTCTTTATTGTTTTTAGTGTTGTGCAGAGTTGGCTATTATCACGATTTTCTTTTGTATAGTTTTATTTTCATCAAGATTATCAATCTCTGTGTGATCGGTTGATTATTGAAATGATCTTATCCTTTAGAGCCAATGTCAATGGGCATTTATATGATCTGTCTTTTTAGTTTACGCATCAATATTCTATTCCCATGCGAGATTTAATCAACCAGTCATAACCGTGCATATACTTGGCCAGTGGCCCTACTCTCCTCCCTTCTGTGCCATATCCCTCTTTTCATATTGCAGGATCTACTTTTTAGATTTGCATCATCATGAGATACAATAAACTCATCGCATTCTTCTTCGATGAGAGCAAAATTATTCCATCAGCTATAAGGATGATCTCTTAAGCTTGTCTTCTCCTAGCGAAGTTGAGTCATTCCTGGATACATCATTACCAAGAGAAAATTCTAGCTCAGAAGGATCACTTGGTGATAGAAAAGCTTTGAATTTGGCAGTAGATGTGCTCTTCCATATTTCAATCCTTTTTGAGCATTGCTTTTTGTGGATGACAGAGTGTAATAAAAGGATCGGCATTTGTTCATCTGCAGCGCACAGTTACTTCCATAAGTTGAAGTGGTCATTATTAGAAGGTAAAATGTTGCTGAAGTATTCCATTGGCAACAAACTCGTATATGCATAATGAAATGAGACTTGATTATGATGGGGCCAATATAGCTGTTAGATCAGGAGGTGGTTCTGTTTCGAGTGTCTGAACCATGACACTTGAAATCTAGTTTCCTGTTAAACGAAGGTGACGAAACCATGTTCTGCCCAATAACTATAGTTTTGTATTTATGTGTTGTTTAGTCTGTAACAGACAAAGACAGGTAAATTATGTCAGGGAGACATTAATGAAATGATTTTTAACCTTCTCCTTAACTAAAACTTCGGTGAGGGAAGCATCAAGTGCAAGTGGATGAAGATGAAAGATAGGACAGATATCAAGCTTCATAAGCATTCGAGGCATTGATCAGAATAAAGATGGATGTAAAGTTCAACGGTTTAACAATATTTGTCACAAGGACTCATCACCATCTCACAATGATGGCTTTGAAAAGAAGAAAAAAAAAATCGCCATCATCTGCTAATAATTAATGGTACAATGAATCTAGTTACGCATGTCTGTGCGACACAGCAACTAAACTCAATGCTCATGATGGTAACTTGCAAGTATTGATAATTAGGAATAATCAAAAGCATTTCACTCAAAAAAAAAAAAAAACGAAAAAACAAATCATCACAAGCATGCCAACATTGAATCAACTAAGTATACTTTTTTTTTTAAATATCTAATAAAAGTTGAAGTAAGTAGGATGTTAGTACAGTGCTCCAAAAAAAAGTTGGAAGTTAGTAAATTGCAAGAAAAGTTATCGTGTAATCTCATATAAACAATTTAATCATTAAAAAGTAACACAGCAAGGTAGTAGTAGGCAGCCGGTGGAGGCAATAAATTGGAGCCGCTGCTTATGTGGCAATTGAGATTATGAGAGGTAGGGGAACGCAAGGTTCGCTCAGTGAGCCATCGTCGTCTCTAGGTTCTATTCTGGAAAGGATTTGGAAGATTTGGAGATTGTTTTGTCACGATAAGTTTTTGTTCCTGGTTGATTTGTTTTGGCTTCCCGATATTAGTGAATGTAATGATATTTTTCATACTACTAAACTTTACTTTGTTTGCCAAAAGAATAAGAAGTCGTCTCATACCCACAATTATAATATTATTAAATCCTATTTTTTAATATAAGAATCTTATTGGTAGGCAATATATGACCGTAAATAATCATGTAAGTAAGCTTAAAAGTATCCCCTACCCCTAGTAATTCAATACCAAAAAAGAGATAAATATATAATTCAAAAATGAGAATATATAACTTTTATATTAAAAAATGATAAATAAATATTGAAATAGAATTTCGCTTTTATATAGGCTTTGATATTTATTAAATAGTTATCTGAGAAAGGATTGAGGAAAGAAAATATTCAAAATAATAAAAAGGAAAGGAAACGGATGAAAATTTCGAAAATAAAAAAGATGAGCAGATTCTTCAAAAAGTAAAACGATCACAAAAATGTTTTTTCTTTTTTTTTTCCTGGCCACAAAAATGTTTCACTTTTTGTGGGGCTATGATTCCAGAATAGTAATTTGTCAATTTTCCTTCTGGATTATGGATCAAATTAAAAAGTTAAATAGGTTGTCAAAGTCACTTCTTTCTTCTTGATTTGTTGGCCAATGATCAAAGTCGCTTTAACTGTTTACGGCTCTGTTTGGATAGCACCCCAAACCATGGTTTGGGGAAAATGCTACCCAAACAGCCTCTCCAAAAACCAAAACCATGGTTTTGACTCCAAAACCATGGTTTTGGAAAAAGCAAATTTTTTTTGCTTTTGGAGAAAAAAGGGAGAGTGTGAGGGCCTATATGATATGTATCTTGTTATTTTTTTTATAAACATATTTTTTATAAATATATTTAATTTTATATTTTATAAATATATAAGACATTAATTATTTATTAATTATATTATCTTATGTATTATTAATTATGTTGGTAAAAAACATATTATTAACAATTTTATTTCTTCAAATTAAAATATATCATAAAATCTATTTTTTCTGTAATTATCATATTAACTTATGTCTTTTTTTAGTAATTTGTATATATAAAAAGTGCTTCTGATAACAACTATCCAAACACTCTCATTTCTCAAAATCACTTTTTTACAAATCTATTCTTCACAGAATCTATTTTTTCCAGAATCTATTCTCCAGAATCACTTTTCCAAACCACGGTTTGGTTTCATCCAAACACACCCTACTTTTATATGCATTATGATTATGCGCTGGTGGCTGGAAAAGCTACACCAAAAGCGAGGGTGTAGTTTCTTCTTCTTGTTTTTGTTTTTTTTAAGAAATTAAGTTTTAATTTTTTTGCCAACAAAATTAAGTGGTAATTTAAATTAATAATATTATTAATTAATGATTCAGGAATAGGATGATTTTTTATGAGTTTTATATGCTTAATGATATTGATTTTCTAGGTTTACTTTTTTTTATTTACCTAAATTCACATATTTTGTATTTATAAAGCCATTCATTACATGTGAAATTTATATTTTATATTTATATTCATTATTTAAAGTTTTATCCCCTAAGTCGTATTATTCAGCTTCATTCATAATACCAAACAATATGTTCAACGTATATAAAAGCAAAATCGCTATAACCGTTATTTTACTAATGTGTGTGTGTGTTTTTTTTTTGTTGAGTATCTGCCTCCTTTGACCCCCCCCCCAAAAAAAAGCACCTGTACACACACACACATATATGTATATAAACCGCGCGCAATTGCATGGAAGTTATTCTGGTTAATCAAAATTACAATTTGCAAAAATATATATACTCTTCCTATCCTTAATATAGTACCTGTTTAACTAATTTGATTATATTAAGGAAGTTAGGTAAGTTAATTAATTATAAGAAATGTGACACATTTTTTTCTAAAACACCATAATCATCTTTCTTAATATTTCATCTCGCTGGTCTACTTGATTATGGTTGAAAGAGTATCTATATGGGTAATTTAGAAAAAATTGATAAATATGAAAAATGAGTCTTATATTTAAAATCAAAACCAACTCAATAATTAGATTTTATATTGAGGACCGAAAGAGCATATAAATAATTCAGCAAAGGATAAGGATCAGAGAACAAGGAATTTTGTGCCCCACTTTGATTCATATTCTGAGACTCCATATTTTTCCTAAGTATACTATGATTTATTATTATTTTATTTTTATTTGAAAGAGGATTTTTCTCAATCAAAGTGCTTTCATCTAGAAAAATTTAAAATAAAAATATTTAATTCAAAATAAAAATTTCATTTCAAATTGGGAAAAGTATATCTTCAGTCATATCTTACACTCCTCCATTCCTAAATATAAGAGTTATTTTAAAATATAAATTATACTATAAAATGGGTTTTATATTTAGAATCGGAAAAGTATTTTTTTGTTGTCATCCCTTTCAACCTAAGGTGTTTAAAACAAAATAAAATACAAAATACTACATCTGGTCCTAATTATAAGATTTTGTTTATAGTTTGCAAATGAGATCTTATAATTAGGATCAGAAGTAATACGTAGATATGAATAAAAAATGTGAATCAAAATCACAAAGTACAATTGATACTGTTATTATTGATTAATAAATCTAAAAATATAGGATAAAATATTTATATGGTCATTTAACTTTACACATTTTAATTTGATTCTTTAATTTAAAAAAAAAATTTGTCATTTAACTCTAAATCATTAGATTTAAATGATTTTTTATAATGATCATGGTGTTTTGAAAATAAAATTTAATAGGTTAGCAGTAACAGTTGATAATGTTTTATCCATATTTAAAATTTCAATATCATATTTTTTTAATAATTTTAAAATTAAAAGATTAAAAGTATGCAAATAAAAAAAATTAAATTGAAATTATATATAAAATTAAAAGGGATAAATGTATGAAAATATAACACAATGGTGGGAAAAGGAGAATCTGATACAGGATTCTTCTTTGAATGTTTTCTTCTGTTTTTCGGCCAGATTCTTTACATGGATAGATGATGAAAGACAAGGAGAATCGAAATTCCGGCCCGAATTTTCGATAAACCAACAATCACGTGTTTGCTTATTTTCTTTGATATTATAAGAGAAATTCATTAGCATTAAAATTCATGTCTATTTTTTTTTTGGCCAAAAAATTCATGTCTATTAGAAAAACGAAAAAATCACGTCCGCAGGGCTGGATTATATATTTGTGTGTGTATATTAATCAATGGGCAAAACCCAAGCCTAGTTTTTGAAGAGTTTTAACAGAGGGAAAGTAAGAGAGCCGTGAAGAACGATCTCTGGTGGCCGCTTCGTTGATTGGGATTTCTTGTTTTGATGCATATTCCATTCTGAACCTAGAAATTCTTCTTCAGCCGAACAATTTTTCTTAGGTTTTCCGTCATTTCACTGAACCAATGCTCCTTTCTGAAGTTTCCTCTTTTTGACGGGATCTGAGGTGTAGGTGCCTGGATTGATTTTTCCGAACTGGGACGTTATCATGTTATAAAGCCGAGGCTTGCAGTTTTTTTGTGGCGGGATTGGCTTCCTTCTCCTTATTTATTCTTAGGGTTTCTTTCGGTTTAGTTTGTGCTTGAACCACCCTCTTTGTCCCCGCCACAATTGGCTGTGAAGTTCTTCTCTGTTTGATCAGATTAATTTGTTTTCGGGGTTGAAAATTTTGCCATTGTTCTAGGGTATTTTGCTTTTCATCCAAATTTATTATCGGGTTCTTTCTTGGTTCATGCTGCTGTTACCATGTGATTGTAAAATTCTACGGATATTATGTTGTTTAAATTGAAGAATAGCCAAGGCTCTGCACGCTTCGCGTTTCAGCAAGCTCTGCACCTCCACCACCACCACCACCACCATTATCTTCTCATGGCTTATATGGTTGGCTACGACCCGTCTTCCAACTTAACCTTATCGAAGTATTCTTCTCTTTCTTCTGGCCGTGGCGGGAGCAGCGGCTGCAACCCATCTTTCCCATTTCTTCGGAAGCAACTACATGTCAATGCTTTTCCGGTTAAAAGATGCATTGGGTTCACTCTTCAAGGTTGCTTTGATACCAGTAGCAATAATAATAAGCTTTTTGTCAATCCGACGGCCCGGGGTTTTGCAGCTTTCCCTCGCCCGCCATTGTTAGCGGACACAGAGGATGCTACTGTCCAGGACAATAATCGCAATGCTATTATAAATACATCGTTAAATGGGAGTCCCACTAAACCCCTAAATTTTCGGGATTGCCATTTGTCCCGGAAAATTGTTGTTGCGGTTGACGTTGATGAAGGTATCAACGCATATGCCTCTCTTTATCTTACCTCATAAATAGCCTGTCCCGCATCGTGAGTGCATTCCAATTTCAGTAGCTACCACTGGCATGTGCTGTTCTGTGTTCTGTTTATATCTGATTAGATTTGGCATGAATGCAGATGACGCTTTACCCGGTAATTTATTTAAACCTATAAGAGTATATTTGGAACTTCACGAAGTAAATAACATTGATTAATATATGCAACCTAATGTTTTTATCTTCCATAATTGAAACATAATATACCGCCAATTGCCATGCCAAATATAGTTATTATGAATGCCATGGTGTCTCATACTTTAGTATACAAGATACCATATCAATTCTGACTGCAATATATCAAGCACCTTAATCTGAAATAAATCATGTAGTGAAATTTATCTAAAATAAGGTTACACTTCACAATTGACATTTCAATTTGCTGTTTGATGTCATGTTCAAATTTCGGATTATGCTCCTCTTTTCTTCTAATCTTTATTCTCCTATCTGCTTTCTGATGTGCAGTATTAGGGAACTTTGTGTCGGCTCTAAACAGGTTCATTGCAGATCAATACTCATCAAACTATTCAGTTTCTGAGTACCATGTGTATGAGTTTTTCAAGGTATTACATTGTTGCTGCTTGAGTATTCCAGACAATCATGATGAGTGACTGGGTCATGCAAATGTTGTTTATTGTTCTTATTAACCTAACAGTGATTTTAACAATTGGTATGCTCCTTTAGACTCTAGTTTCTGCCCCTTTTTCACCATAATTAAATAATATAATTTAAGCATTGGCTAAGGGTTTGTGGAAACAATACGTTGTTGGAATATCTAGGCTGTGTTGATTTCTTTGGTAATATTCCATAACGTGAATTTTGATGATAAGCACTTAACCTACCATCGATAATGATATGCGCCAATCTTTTAAGGGAAAAAGTCTGGGGTGCAAGAGTGTGTTGCGTGGTTCAGTGCCTTCTTCTGTTTCTCCTTCCATTTTCCAAAATATCTCGTGCAGGGTAATCCCCATTTGCAATGTGATGGATAATCATCAATACGTTGTGCCCTTGGTTTAGTTTTCGTAAATTATATTTTATGTTTTTTTGTCAATGTTTTTGAATCTTCTTGATTTTATGCATCCGCTTTTCTAGGACTACTTTTCTTCTCTTGTTTGTTATATGCATTGAGGGATCTTTGGTTCTATTTTACAAAATTTCACTGTCATACAAAATTAGTACGTTTAACAGCAGAGTCAGTCTGTGGTGTCATTTTAGATTTTTCCATCTTTTCATCTAGCGTCTGATGCACCCTTCCTTTCTCTTACAGATATGGAATTGTTCTCGTGAGGAAGGTAACTGCTAATTGGCTACATCACCCTCTCAGATTGTGAACAGTTTTACTGCTCACCTCCTTTTGAAAACCTGTAGGATGATTTCAATTATACCTTCCCCCATTTGATTCTTGCCGTGCTCATTGAATCAAGTGTCTTGTGTGATGGAATTGGATTGTTCTTGAAATTGGATCCCCTGAAAATCTCATTCTCAAAATGAATCAAATTGTAGTTGTTTTATTTTTGTGTTGGCAGTTTTTGATAAGGACAGCCTATCCTGATGTTGATTATCTCATTTCTTCATTCTTGAACTATTCAGCTTGAATTGGTTCTTTAACCTTTGCCGCGTAGTAATTTTCCCAGAAGACATGGTGCCCACAGGTAGCAATCTGAACATGGAAAATAAAAGAAAACCTCTACAGATTATTACACAGGATACCTAAAGATCAATGTATTATAGTTATAGACTCACTCTAGAAGACATATAATTATAAACAAGTTGTCAGTTGCATTTTATTTGTAACATAATAGAACTGACTTTTTATAGGGCTGGTCAAAAGGGGCAAAAAGTCCCTTGAAGGCTGAAGCTGTCAAACATCTTAACATTAAAGGTTTCTTATTTCTCTTGAAATTCTCTTTCGCTTCATGCAATTAATTGCCAATCAACCTTGTTCATCTGCAGCTGCTGCCCGTGTGCATGAGTTTTTTAAGACACCGTATTTCAAGACAGGGATCCACCCTCTCCCAGGTGCTCAGACAGCCCTTCAGAAGTTATCAAGATTTTGTAACCTATCAGTTGTAACGTATGCTTACTGTGCCAAACCTTTTTTAACCTATAACAAAATCTAGTTAGCTTCAACTAAAGGGTGCTGCCTGTGTATGTTTATGATCAGATCACGGCAGAATGCTATCAAGGATCACACAATTGACTGGTTAGAGAAGAATTTTCCAGGACTTTTTCAGGAAATTCACTTTGGAAACCACTTTGCTCTTGATGGGGTGCCTAGACCCAAGTCGGAGATTTGTAGGTATGCCCCCTAGTCTTGTTCACATGCATTCTGATGATTCTGTGAGAATGATGCTTTTATACCAACCTTGTGAACTGTGGTGTGGACTGTACTTGTTGTAACGAGCAATTGCCTCGTGATCTTGTTTCCCCTATTCCCTGTTCACTCTATAAGCTACGATCTTTGTCAGTTTCAGTGATTTTTGCTGATAGAGATATTCCTTACTGAAACTGATAGGTCTTTAGATGCTCAAGTTCTAATTGACGATAACCCAAGATATGCTATAGAATGTGCTGAAGTCGGAATCAGGGTCCTGCTTTTTGATTATGAGAACTCGTATCCTTGGTGCAAGACTGAATCTGTTGATCAGCATCCTCTGGTGACGAAAGTTAGAAACTGGGAACAAGTGGAACAACAAATAATGTTATTGACAGCTTTATAGTCTCTAAATCTGCTGGTAACTTTTTTGTGACACCGCCCTTTTTGCTACGAAGTACTGTTCAATTAATAGGCCTACAATATGTATGGAGGAGGTGAGACAATTTGAAGCAGCTGGAGAGAGAGCACTTGCCTGGTAGCTGGGGTAATAGTATAAAATTGCTCACAATAGCATTCTTTTCCCCACTTTCGAGCAGCATCATGGAAGAGTGGAATGTGAAATTGTTCATTGAAGTGGAAATTCTATGATTCTACTATATAAGGATATCTAAGCAGAGAATTCTTTTACAATTCCATTATGGATATAGAAGTTGATCTTAAACTCGTAGGGTTAGGCAGTCGTCACCCGTTGCTATCCTATCCATTTACTGGGTTCGCTGTACAACAATAATGAATATTTCAAGACACATTTCTCCATGCATTGCACGGAATCTAGAATGAGCTGCGCTGTTTATATCGTTTAAACGGTGCAGTGTGTGTGATGTTATATATAATATGTTGATATTGACGATATATTGACGTTATTGATATCTCGATTTGACTATGTCATCAAAGCATGTTGGGTCATCCAGAAATAAAATCATGTTGGATCAGAGGAATTCTGTGGGCATTCTACTTCCTCATCCATGCCCAGATTAGTTCACAATTTTTTAAAATGTCTCTTAAAATGAGTCTTCTTGAGTTCAAGATGCTCAGCCTTTTTTCAAAAAGCTGAAAAAAGTCTCTGGAATCTCTGCTATGAAAGTTTGAATTAACTTCTTAAGTATGGCAAGGTAGGTCAAGAGTTTATGACTAAACAGCAATTAGTACTTTCAATTTATTTACTTCACTCGGTTAAAAAAATAAATAAATCTATTCAGTCATCTTTACAAGGACATTAAAAAAACGGAAACTTCCATGATCAAGCAGAAGCGAATCATTTTTATTTGTTTTCAAAGTTGGGTTGAACACTTACATTTAGCGAACAATATCCATCCCTGGCATTTCTCATCTACGCAACACTAGAGGTGTGTTGTGAATATATATATAATTTGCAGTAATTGTTACAATTGGTATTATTCACAGTGATGTGAAGCTGCTGAAACTTGAAGGAACATTGAATAGCATAGTACGCTTCTTTCAACCAAATATGAATATCGCAGCACAAATCAATCATTCTTCTCTATCAACTTGATGCCACAGGCTTGTATAATATCCAGAGCTGCAAAAACAAGTTTGCTTTAGTTAAAAACACTTTCCAAATATACCAAGTAGCTTCACTGATACATACTACTAACAATAACAATTGCAAAGCAATTTTTTAAGATTCATTTTGATTCCATTTGTGGGGGCCATATAGGTGATATAATCATCATTTTTCCGCCACGTGGACAATAAATCAAGACCAGATGAATATACATTGCATTGACCTGGGTTGTATACTTCAGATTCTAAAGGCCTCAAGACACCTCTTGTTTGAATCTTGTCCTTCAGCAAGAGCTGTGAAAATAGATATAGAAAGTTTTGTTAACATTAGCAGCTTGGATTACAGTGTAAAGGAACAGAAATGCAAAACAGGTACCAGAGCTCCAGCAGCCGCTGGAATTCCAACAGTGATGGCCATGGCACTTGTGGTTTTTCCATCAATAGTCCTTCCAAATTCGAGCAATGTTGCCCTATGGCTCTCTGTTTGCTGGCTGTCTGGGAACTCTATCTCCACTTCATGGTGCAAAAGCACCATATCCTGATTATTTGTCAGATAGAACTTAAGTACATCTATAACTACTCTGTACTACATATTACAATAACACTTCGTTTCTGGCTGAGGATAAGCAATTTTCTGGTCCATAATAAAGAGCATAGATCATAATAACCCAGCCATCACTTGTTTTCACAAAACTTGGCTACTTGAAATATTATAATGCTTCAAGAGAACACTCAGACACCCAAACTTCGCCATTTATTTTACTTTCATTTTTGCACAAAAACATACCTGTTCTGTGCTGGAGTAGGCTAACCTTTCCTCCATACGCAAACAGATGACGTCAAAAGCACTTTGGCAGGAAACAGGGATTTCTGTTTCCTCATGAAGTCCCAAAAATCTAAAAGATAGGACCCGATTCACAATCACAAAGATAATCTACCAAATGAATAGATGACAAAGAGAGGGGAATGGTCTGCGCACATGATAGTTTTGGCTGTCTTTGACGCAGTTCCTTGCTCCTTGCAATGTCCTAATGATAATATCCTTTTCACGATGTTTTTCTCTCCAATTAGAGACCCCGTTGGATCTTCACTTGAAATTTTTAGAAGTTCGAACAAAAATGCTCTGAAAGTTGGTCTCGTTCCATTCTTAAGAAAGGGATGAGCTTCTTGGTTAAAGAAGCCAATCCTAGAAAGTGTCCCCATGATCTTGCTAAACCCTGTGCAGTAAGAACAAGTGATCATAATTTTCTTATTCATGTTTACAGAATGTGATCAACCCATCTCAAATGCCTAAAATTGGATATAATATGCCATGCCTTCATAACGGAGGGTTCCCCGGAAAATGGTTGATGCTTCAGATCCTATTCCATACAAATCTCCATAAACTAAGGAGTTCCGATTTGGCAGACACTCTAAAGAAAAAGCTGGAAGATCAGGTATCTGTAGTCTTGTAGCTGAATCATAAAGACTGTCCCCTGTCAAAAAAATGAAGTGAGATTGAAAGGGAACAGCTATTAACATAATAGCCCGACGCAGAGAAGAGATGGGAGGGGTACAAAAACAGAACAGATGGGTGAATGCAAGATAACAGAATCGAGTTAAAGGAAAAGCAGAAAATGAACAAGAAAAATAATAGGTCCGAGCATGCATTCAACTGCTCTCTTGACATTATATTTGCAACTTATTAAAAGCTCACCATCTACATTCACAGTTTCACCACAAGATCTGTAGGTAGCAGGATTGCGCCCGGCTCGGATAGCCCCCGCTGGATTCCAACTGAAAATAGCAAATTATGAGTTCTGACAGCAACAATGGTCACCAAATCACCATCAAATTACCCCTATAAGCAGAATGCATAGATGAAGTGACTATTTTATGCATATAAAAAACCTACATGTATGCTTTAATGGCATCATATTTCTAAAATTAGTAATAGAAAATTATGCCCCCATACAAATCATTGACATTGCACAATTCAGAGTGATAACAGTAATTTATCAAGACATCGAACAGAATCAACAAGTAATTTCTCATTTCTCCTTAAGGAAGTCAGCTTCATAATTGCATAATGTGCCGGTTTGAGAGGTGATTTTCAGCTCTTCACCAATAGGTTGCATAAAAACCCAATTTCAGATGAGCAAAAGTAATAATCACTTTTAGGAACAATATAAAACCGTTTGCGTAGGTATAAGAAATTCCATGAATTACCTAAATTTATATGCTAATGGGTTGTTAGCAGCTGCAGGGGATGGGAGTCCGCCACAGTAAGAAGTGAAAGATTTTATTTTCCCATTCCTCTCATGTGCTTGGTCAATCATCTTCATTGCCATCATATGATCTGAGACATAAAACCATTGTTAGTTTGTATTTTGGCTGAATAGTCATAGTTGAAATTATCTCTGACACTCGCTCACCAATGGGACTAGAACTAGGTCACAGGTAGGAAAAATGCTAAGCACACTAGCTGCCTAAGCAAAAGAGGAAATTAGCAAAATAAAATATTAGGAACATTTGATCCTAAAAGAACCAACACAAAAGAGGAAAAATTCTGAACAAAAAATGTAAACCGAAGACAACCTGGCCAAACATGCACAAACAATAAGCTTATTGCGATATCTGCTGAAAATACTAGATGTGCACTCTCAATGTGTTGATGTATGAAAATAGTAAACAATAATTCATTTTAAAATACTTGGGAGAATTTTCTATAAATATATAATAAGAAGTAAATGATTGCAAAAATGCTTTGAATAAACGATTTTAAATGACACCTTCAACCATAAGCATCATACCATCAGAAATGAAACATAAATTTACAGAAATTCCCCCGTAAACCAAGGTCCAAAAACCAATACCAGGTATAAGCGCACTACTAGAACCTATTTTAAGCTACTGAAGTCCTGGGAACTGATACCGTCAAAATAAGTCTTACCTATGCCTGGGTCCAAGCCCATCTCGCCAAGGATTGTTATACCAGCCTCTTTTGCCTTATCATCTAACATTGTCATGGAGCTATCAACATAGCTAGCAGTGACAAGGTGTCTTTTAAGCTGCATGAAATAGAAGTCACTAATGTAGCCACAACAAAGAAATAAAAATTGTTTCCCAGTTCATCGCACTAGCTACTGTGAAGTACCTCAATACAAGCATTTGCTACCAAAATGTGACAACTCGGGGGCAGAAGACTTATGACAACGTTAACCTGTCAAGAAATAAGAAAGACAAGATGTTGATAGGACCGCCAACAAGATCCTAAGAAGATGGACAGAGATCGGTATGCTGGAAGTTTGTGCAAGGGGAGTACATTATAGTTGAAAATGGTAGTTGACCAAGAACCGAGAAACAAACCATAGTCAACATTAAAGCATGAAGAAAGTGTATTAGTTTATTATAGGATTATAACATTAGATAGAGCAAGGTGCTATCACCTTCCAAATTCCATCTGCGTGTCTTCCTAAAGCATATACTGAAGACCTCAGCAAGATGCTTTTGAAAGAATCAATTTATATGAGTATTATAGAAACTACTTTCCAAAAGACTACCAAATTGTACCTGCGAAATATAATTACAAAGACTGGCATGATCCATCACATCAAGTTGAATTCCAGTGGCACCTGGAATACCCTCAACAATCTGCATTGATCAGCAATATTATCATATCAAGCATCCCCACATCAAACCCAGTTTGCTTCCTTAACTAACCGATGTAAAAGCAAAATATCTTGGTCAAAGTACCTGTTCTGCATCCTTCAGATAAAGAGATCCCACAATGACTTCAATATCAGTATCTTCTTCGTAGTCATATTCAACCAATGGTTTACACCATTGACTGGATGAAAAACTTCCAATTGATGATAACATCTCTGCAGCTGGTTGACATACACGACCAGCACCAAGAATCAAAACTGCAGCCTTCTTTTTTGGCTCAGGTTCACTCTTTAAACTACTCTGTTGAACTTTGCCAAGTCTCAGTGAAATCTTAAGAGAAGTTAAATTATCAATGATTTGATCCAGAACTGCCCTATCGTTTGCACCAACCTGTTCATAAGCAGCATACAATTAGATTATAATTGAACCAACATAAAAATCCACTCGTATGTACTTTAAATGTATCATTTCTAAAATAAATATCTAAATGAAGAGGAAATGTAGATAATCTTGGGATAAATCTGACTTTAACTGCATTCAAAGATCACTAAACCATTGTAGCTTTCCTTAAGACAGCCAAATATTGAGTAGGTAAGAGAGAGAAATGAAATCGTTTTTGGTCAAAAAGGAAATAATCTGTTTTTTACTTTTTCATCAGAGCATATTCAATATGACCAAGAAGATATGCTTTGATCAGAATATGTGTGAGAGGGAGGGAGGGAGGAGAAAAATACCAAGATGATACAAACTGCTTTTAACA